TTTTTTTTTTTTAGAGCCAAACTTTTTTTGTTTACTAAGTAACAAGGACGCTAAATTTGCAGCACTTCTTGAATTTAAAAACTCCTTTAATTGAAGACAGCTGAATTTTCCTATCCTTTTTTAACATGTCTTTGAGGGAAGAATAATTTTTTGGCTTCGAATTTGAAAAAACTGCTGATTAGAATAAGTGATGGTTACAGTTTTTGAAATCCGCTTTTTCTAGTGCTACTGCAGCAGTTTCATTAACATAATGCAAAGATCTTTCAGTAACGGATTTGGGCTTCCTTCACCTTCAGACTACGCGCTGGGTACGACCCGTTATTGAAATCACTTCCATCGTCTTATTAATTTAAATCACCTTCCGACTTAGATTCGCTGCCGAAGTTTATATGATGCTCATTCAGAATTTTGAGGTTTCTCAGCTTGTAGCAAAAAATTGTGTTCAATTTTCAAGTTTCTTTCATTTCATTTCTGTACTATGCTGTTTTCACTCGTAGTATAGTCAAGTCTTCGCACTTCTTCTTTGTTTGTACTTAAGCTTTTCTTTTCCTGATTTTCCTTTTCAGCTTGTGACACTTTGTACATACTGGTATTTGTTATATTAGTTTTTGTTCTCTCTTCCCTTAGTTTTACCTCTCGCTCCATTGGCCATTCTTGCGCTTTTACGTGTACAGAACTGCTGATGGGTTGCAAAAAAACAATTCACTTTCCTCCATTCTGCCACTACTTCACTGTGACTCCAAGTTTCCACTGCCTTCAGCGGTTATTCTTGAGATAGTGATTGCACCGTATTCGGTCTTTTTTTTCTTTCATAAAGCAGGTGGAGAATTCACTGTTGTTGTGAGCGTTTTCCCGGGAAGTAAGAGGTGGAATAAAATTAAGTTTTACTAGTGGTAGAGGTATTTTTGATGTGTTTTAGGAAGTGGTACTTTTATTAGAAGAAAGTGGTCGAGATGGTGCTTGCTGGGAAAAGTTGCATAGAACTTGGAGTTTGGGTGTTTTGAATATCCTTTTGAACTGTTCCACGTAGAGATTTCCTAGAATGGGTTGTTTATCTTGTTTAGTAGATTGCGCATTTCAGTTTTCAAATAAGAAGAGTGGGTGTATAACGGTCTGGGAGGATGCTGACTGTAGATCTTTTTTTTTTCTTGTGTATGGTTTGATGAAGAGTAAAATGTTATGCGAAAAATTGTTTTCTAGCACTCTCACCACGTCAAGTTCTTCACCAGGGCACTGTTTACTTCCCATTTTTTACCCAGAAAAAAGCAAACAACGTGAACTTTCTTTTTTTTAAACACTTGGTCTTTGCAGTGAAGGTTCCTGTTTGCTGTATGTCCCTGCACAAGCCGCTTCAAAGAGAAGTTTAAACATTTCTGCTTGTTCTCAAGTTAGTTT